GCCTTGCAATAATAATAACTTAAATATAACAAATATTAGAATGTCACAGTATGCAATATAAAGTTAATTTTGACAATAAAAAAACACTAGGGAAATGGACATGCAAAAAACATACAGTATTAGCCTTGCTAACAAAAAAAAATAAACATGGCTATATATACTTGAGTAAGGAAACATGTTATGCTGATATAATAATTTTAACAAAAAAACAATTTATGTGCATAATGAAGTGATTTACTTTTGAGAATATAAATATTTCTTTTATTCAAACTAACTCAAGTGATTGTCATTACTTAAACATTTTAGCATTGATTAAAATAGGTGCTGGAGATGTATTTATACATCAAATGTAAGAAAGTTTTTTCTTTATATTGTGAAATCACCAAAATATTTTCAAAATCCTTACAAGTTATGTACTTCTAATATTTTAAATGAATGGTACTTGTACTTGTTCAAGAGGTCAAATGTGAAGGAAACAAAGGTCATCAATGAACTGCATCTCACAATATGTTACACATTTTTAGCATCACATTTAATGTTATTAAAATATGTATTTACTTACCAGTTTGCTTCAAATTTGTACCAATTTACCTACAAACTGATTCACTTACAAGACATTTTTAAAATGAAGCATAAATTTTAATTCTATCATAAAATTGGTTTTATTGTAATAAGTTTTCATCATGTTCTAAATTCAAGAAAATATTTTATGGTAATATCTGGCAAGGAAATAGCCAAACAATAACAAAATATGGTAATACAAAACAATCTGTAAAGCAAAATATTTATTTTCAACTGCTTGCAGGACATGTACATAAAATATTTTTTGGTATGTAATAAACAACGTCAAAACAGTAGATACAAATTTTACCAGCTACCTGCAGATCATACACTCACATTCACATTAGTCAAAAGAGTTTATGAAGGTATCACTTTTTTCATTATAAATTTGAACTAAAAACTTATGTTTTTAAAATCCTGGTAGTTCATATACAAAAAATACTATGGTTTTAATGTACTTTTTTTTTCTATGTAAAACCTAAAATTATCTGATATTTCCAAAGAATTAGTCAGAAATCTCTGTCCTATTTATTTAAGTTAAACTGCTCAACAAAAGGAATATGAATAGATTCACTTTTCACAAGTTATAATTTTCTTAAATGTGGAAAATATCTATTAATACAATATTCAAACTGATTATTATTCACAGATGCAAACCACATTATAAAATTTAAAACATTCAAGTTCGAAGCAACATTCTGGTTCAAAGCATCCATTTATAGGTTAGCATAAATACAAAGATATTTTATAATGGCCAACTATAAGAAGTTAAATACTTCCATTAAAATCAAAAGAGAAAGTTACCTTGCACCACACATACTTTGAGAAAAAATATGATAATTTCTATTTAATTTCAAAATACAATTTTAGTATTAGTAAGCATTATTAGATTTTCCCACCCAATCTAATCATTAAAATGGCTAAATCTTTATAGTATTTCATGCATTGGGAATGTCAATATGTCTATG